GCCTCCTGTAGCGAATCGATGCGTTTTTGTAAGAAAAATATCCATATTCAAAACGTAATAATCGCTTTAATCTAGCTTGCACTCACTGTTGTACACGGAAGCAATTCCGGGCGGATGACGTATGAGGTCAGCGCTGCGCATGCGCCGCTCAGAAGTGATGCATGCAGAAGCGCAGCGGAGAGATCGAAACAAAACAACGATCACGAATTAGAAGTACAAAACGAGGATTTGTAAAGAAGAATGTCAGAGGATTTCGATATAAGCCAAGAGGAGACCTTTGATCCTGTAAACAAACGTTGGTTTTCACGAGACTCACCGGTACATGTGCAGCGCTGAACTCATACGTCATCAGCCCGGAGCTGCTTCCATGTAGGACTGTTGGTGCAAGCAACATTAAAGTTATTATTACGTTTTGAATATGGATATTTCTCTTACAAAAACACATCGATTCGCTACAGGAGGCCTTTGTTCACCGCCCGGAGCCGTGTGAGAAACTTTTTTTATGGATGGGCGCTTTTTATTTAACTTCTTTTGGACTGATGCATGCAACACCTGCTGAGTGGCATTAAACAGCTTGAAAGATCAAAGACAATTTTTAATATAACTCTGACTGGATTCGTCTGAAAGAAGAAAGTCATATACACCTAGGATGACTTCAGCGCGAGTAATTTATGGACTAATTTTCATTTTTGAGTGAACTAACCCTTTAAGAGTTTAAGGGCGTTCGTGGAGCTTCATCTTATGCGTTTGATGTGGAAATTGTCACGACGTTCAAAATATCAAGTGTCGCCTTCACTACAGATGATTGATGTGAACGGCGTTACGCGCTTAGGCAAGGTTATTCGACTTTACACAGAGCCTGTCAGTCAGATCATAGTGACAGGCAGCTGTTTGTGTCTGACGTCTAAGTGGATCTGAGCACTCCTCGGCACTGATCTCTGAAACGCCACAGTCTGTTTGGACGTCAAAACAGGTGCGAGGCTTCAGCTGCGGATAACATCTGAGCTGAAATACTGCCAAAGATATTACCTTCCTGCTCGCGGGGTCACTGAAAATCTGTTGCGATTACACACAGAGTCCTTACGGACGGCCGAAACGCATCTACAACACAACAGCTGTAAAACAGTCTATTAGCTCAGACTGGACCAATGGGACTCACTTGACCTGCAATGCATGAACACGTGTATGCCAGGGTTATTAAAGATATCTAAAACTACAACCATAAAAAACGCTTTTCACTTGAAATCAAATTTTGTATAATGTTATAACATTTTAACTGAAATAAATAAATTAATAATAATAATTTAAAAAAAAAACTTCATTTCAGCTAATTGCCAAGGCATCATTTCTCATTTTCATTTAGTTTAAGTGACGTGACGTGACGTGACGTGACGTGACGTGACATGTGGCCAAGTATGGTGACCCATCCCGCAACCTTTGGGTTACGAGTCCGACTCTCTAACAATTAGGCCGCGACTTCCCCAAAGTCGAAACCATTTAGTATACCTCAACCATTTAAGTTGAGGTATACTAAAATAAAAGTGAAATAAAAAAATAATAATAACTGTAGAGACAAAAAAGAATAGAATTAAAAAAGGCAAATATTAAACAATAAAATAAAAATAAAATATTAATGATAACTATATAGACATATATAACAAAAAAATAATAAAAATGACAAAAACCTTACCACAAAATTACTAAAACCAACTAAAATTAAAACAAACACAGAAAATAAAAAAAATTATAATTTGAAATAATAATAAAAACTATGCAGACAAATAAAAAATATATAAAATGAATAAAACAATGTCAAAAATACAACAAAATTATTAAAACAAACTAAAATTAAATTAAAAACAGAATTAAAAATAAAAAACAATTTAAAATATTAATAAACACTATACAGATATATGTAAAAAAAATGACAAAAGCACAACAAAATTACACAACTTTAAAAGTAAAATTAAAACAAAAAATATAAACTCAAAATATCAATAAAAATATAGACATATTTAAAAAAAACTAATAAAAATGACAGAAACACACAACAAAATTACTAAAACCTTAACTAAAATTAAAATGAAAGAAAAACATACAAATAAAATTAATTTAAAATATTACAAAAAAAACTATACAGACATTAAACAAATAATAAAAATGACAGAAACACACAACAAAATTACTAAAACTTACAAATTTAAATTAAAAACCTAGAAATACAAATTGATTCAAAATATTATTAAAAACTGTAATAGTTATAGTATTATCTCAACAACACTAAAACAACACACACATGCATGCAGAAAATAAATGAGAACATTGTGTAAAACTAAACTACATTTAGACACTTTCTGATGCAAATGTCAGTGATTTTCTGCATGGTTTACTGGCATCAGGAAAAGCAACAGCACAACTTTCCTCAACAGTTCGTAGCACAAACGCTTAATACGCAGGGGTTTGCTGCAATCATTAACTGTAAGTATGAGCCATAGCTTTTGCAAACAGCACTAATAATGTTTGTTGAACGTTTGCTGTATAATTAAAGCTCTAATTAACGCAGGTCAGAGGAAAATCCCATGCTTTGAACAAAGAGGCATTTCTGCTGGTTCAGAGTCAAACGCTGTTGTTGAATTATATGCTACAGTAGTTAAAAGGATCACCATGGTAACAGCGAGGAGAAATCCGCAACAACAGTCATTAATAACCTAGAGATACTGTACTGGGAAAAACGCCGAGAAATGAACCAACAACAAACTTGCTTCTGCTGGAGCAGGAGGTGAAATAAATCAAAAAGTTAGTTTATATGAAGCACAAGGGAACACATTAAAGCAGAACCACTGCTTTCCAAACACGAAAACGCCATTTACCCTACAAGCACCCAGATTAAAATCAAACTATAAAACACTACGTGTCACATCTGTTAATGTCAAAATCATTCTCAAATACACACACAATAAACAAAACCCAACATTTAATTTGAGCAAGATTCAAATCTTTCCTCGAATAGAAATCTGACAAAACATCTCAGCATGTCTTCTAGATGGGACACTGCAAAAATGAACACTTTGAAACCAGCAAAATACTTAAAGATAGAAAAAATGTCCCAAAATCAAGCAAAAATAAAATAAAATAAATAATGAAAAATAACAGCAATAAATAAATAAATACACAAACAAACTAACTAAAAATGCAATATGGTAACTAAAAACACCAAAAAAATAATAATTTTAAAGAAATTATTTTTATTCAGCAAGGATGCATTCAATTGATCAGAAGTGACAGTAAAGACATTTATAATGTTACAAAAGATGTCTGTATCAAACAGACTAAGTAATGATGCTGAAAATTCAGCTTTGCATAAATTGAATAATGAATAAATTATTTTACAATATATGAAAATATATTAATTAAAATGTTACAATGTAAGAAAACATGTAATAAATGTAATAATATTTCACAATATTACTGTTTTTACTGTATTTTTGATCAAACAAATGCAGTTTTGGTGAGCAGAAGAGATTTCTTTCTAAAAAACATTAAAAATCAAAATGTTTAATGGTAGTGTACACATATAAATTGTAATAAATAAATAAATAAATTATCCTTGAAATCAGATTACATTTTGGTGTAAGTGTTCGTAAAGATGCGCCAAATTAGTTTAATATTCAAGGCTTCTTATAAAATGAACTTGCTTATTGATGCCTGATTTTAGGACATTTTTGCTGCAAGTTTTTCCTCTGCTCAAAAGCAGCCTTTATCACTCAGTTGTTTTGGTTCCAACAGATCCTGGAACATCTAAAGAGCAGTTCTGTAGAGCACAAAGGTCACCTGTGAGCAGGAGGAGCGTGTGTGTGGTGTCTGAAGCACGATACATACTGTAGGACAGAGGAACGTCCAGCTCGCCCTGCCAGGACAGCTGCCCGAGATCATCTACAGAGTGCTGCCCTGCGGAAACACAAACATTAACACACCTCACGCTAACGTATGCACACAAACACAGAGAACACACTGTCCGTAAGTATAAAGCCAACATCAAACAGTCCTTCATATTAATATAAACCATTTCAGCATGTATTAAGCATCAAAAGCTGTGCTTAAATGTCATTGACCAGAGTTGTTATAACACTAAAACTTCTAAAAATCTAAATTTGACTGTTTTTACTGTATTTTTGATCAAATCAATGCTGTCTTGGTGAGCACAATTTCTTTAAAATCCAGTAAAATCATACCAACCACAACATTTTGTATGTATGTATATATATATATATTGTATGTATAAAAAGAAAACCTAAATTTAAATGAAATTTATAAATGTTGCTTGACGACTAACTGAAAACTTTAAGTTGAAGTATTTAAAATAAAATATACATATTGCAATAAAAAATAAATATATAAAAAACTAACACAAGTGACAAAAGTGCATAACAACATTTTTAAAACTTTAGTTTAGCTAAACTTTATAAACTGTATTTTTAAAACTTAACATGAAAACTTAAAATAAAAAGTAAAAGCTAATTCAAAATATTAATAATATAATAGCATATAAATAATACTAAAATAGCTCTCTCATCAACAGGATATAGTGATAAAGATATATCAGGGTTATTATAGTTAACTAAAACTAAACCAAAACCATAAAATAACATTTTGTTACTTGAAATAAAAAGAATGTTAACTGAAATAAAATTAAATATATATATAAAAAAACATATTTTATTTCAGCTGGTTGAACTAAATACTACTATGTACTAAGATAAACAACTAAAACAAAAAATGAAATAAATTAATTTAAAACTTTATAGACGTATTTAAAAAATAAATAAATTAAACTGACAAAAACACAACTAAATTACTAAAACTTTAACTAAAATGAAAATGAAAACAGAAAATATAAAAACTGATAAAAAAAAATTATACATCTGTATAAACCAAATAAAAAAAACTCATTAAAAATGTCAAAAATATTAATATTAATATTAAATTAATATTCAAATATTAATGTAAACCGGCAAATTACATTTGAATGGATTGTTATTGTTGCTTCCACAGACATATGTGTGTATTTTACAAACTCTAAATGTATTGTTTTGCTAATACTTATGTGTATTTAAATGTCTGAAACCTAAAAATAAACATTATGTGGTTAAAACACTGCATAGTTGTGAAAATATGACAAGCGCAGTGCACGTGTCTCTCTCTGGCTCAGCGCCAGCTAAAGCGCAAAAGCACAGTTTGAATTTGGCAGTTATGTGATGTCACCGAACATTCTAAATCCCGTATGTGGGACCGTACTCCCAGGGGCACGGAAATAACAATCCCATATGTGGGACCGTACTCCCAGGGGAACGGACATAACAATCCCATATGTGGGACCGTACTCCCAGGGGAACGGAAATAACAATCCCATATGTGGGACCGTACTCCCAGGGGAACGGAAATAACAATCCCATATGTGGGACCGTACTCCCAGGGGAACGGAAATAACAATCCCATATGTGGGACCGTACTCCCAGGGGAACGGAAATAACAATCCCATATGTGGGACCGTACTCCCAGGGGAACGGAAATAACAATCCCATATGTGGGACCGTACTCCCAGGGGAACGGAAATAACAATCCCATATGTGGGACCGTACTCCCAGGGGCACGGAAATAACAATCCCATATGTGGGACCGTACTCCCAGGGGAACGGAAATAACAATCCCATATGTGGGACCGTACCGCTCAAAGGGTTAAGAAAGTAAAGCGTCTCAGTTTTTGATTTCACGTTGACTTTAACAAGCTTTCAGCTAAAATCAGCGGAGAGTTTGAGGAGCAGATCGAGCGGGCAGCTCCGTCGCCTCTGGAGAGGATCTGTAAAGAAATTCAATCAGGTGGAATTAAACAGGGTGAAGATTAAGGCCAATCTGCATGAACCGCAGGGCTTCAGAGCCAAGTTGAATAAGCAAATAATACTTAAGCAACTTATTAAACTCTTTCACCTTGAGGAAGCGCGGCACGTGAGGCTATTAACTTTATCCTCTTTTACAGTCGCATCTGAATCATGCGCCGCATCTGAAGCAGCAGCGTCGCACAGTTAGCTCAATGGAGAGATGATTCCACAAACTGACATCCTTTATTAGCCGAGCAAACCAAAGTGGTCATTTCGCATCAAATTAATAATGCGTGATGTCACCGATATTCCTCTGACGGTTATTAATCTAAATGTTATTGCTTATGAAAGTGGAAGCGGGTGGATTATGTTGTTGTAGTGTTAACAATCGGCCCGTGGCGCGCTGATTATGCTGCATTATGTGGGCTGTGGTGATTCACTCAGGAGAAACAATGAGGAGCGGAGACGAGGCCACAGACGCTTGGCAGCTGCTTTCTTTCCGACAAGCTTCCTCAGTCTGTTAATTAGCTTTAGGAAACATCATTATTGCGCTGTCAACAGCTCAATCTCCCTCTAGGACATGTGCTCGGCAAATGAAACGGCTAAAAGACATACGGGGGCTTCTAATCTGTGTACTTTTTGGAGCTGAGTGATTTAAAAGTGAAAACATTAATATAAACAGTTTCAACAAGTATTGAGCATCAAAAATTGTGCTTAAATGTTATCAAACAGTGTTATGTTAATTAAAACTACAACTACAATTTTTAAATATTTATTTTTTATTTGTAACTTTTGTAAAAAGCAAACAAACAAAAAAACCTAAAAACCTGAAAAATAAAAATTGGAAATGTTATTTGGCAACTGAAATAATTTAATAATAATAAATAACTGAAATAAGTACTAAAATTACTAAAACCAAAACTGAACTAAACATAAATGAAAGCTAAATAGAACTGTAAAAAAAACGAATAAAATATCATTTTTAAAAAATCTAAAATCTAATTAAAATTAAATATAAAAATAAAAGATAATTCACTATAATACTAAAACTCCTAAAACTACATCTACAATTTTTAAAAATATTTATATTTATTTATTTAATATTTATTTCAGCTTTATTTCAAGTAACTTTTCTGAAAAAGTTAATTAAATAAGTTAATTAAACTTAATAAATAAGTTTATTTATTAATAAAAGTTTATTAATAAATATTAATAAATAATAATAATACATTTTACAATATCTGTTTGTAAAAAAATAAATTAAAATAATAATAAAATAAAAAACACCAAACCCTAAAACCCAAACTTTAATAAAAATAAGAAATGTTGAAAAAAAAAATAATATTTTTTAATAAATTAAATAATTAATAAATAATGAATAAATTAAAGCTACATAAAAAACAATAATATTGTGAAATATTATTACAATTTAAAATAACTGAATAACTATTCTATTTTAATATATTTTAACATGTATATTATTTCTGCGAAGGCAACACTGTATTTTTAGCATCATTACTCCAGTCTTCAGTGCCACATGATGATTATGTTGTTGTAGTGTTAACAATCGGCCCGTGGCGCGCTGATTATGCTGCATTATGTGGGCTGTGGTGATTCACTCAGGAGAAACAATGAGGAGCGGAGACGAGGCCACAGACGCTTGGCAGCTGCTTTCTTTCCGACAAGCTTCCTCAGTCTGTTAATTAGCTTTAGGAAACATCATTATTGCGCTGTCAACAGCTCAATCTCCCTCTAGGAAATGTGCTCGGCAAATGAAACGGCTAAAAGACATACGGGGGCTTCTAATCTGTGTACTTTTTGGAGCTGAGTGATTTAAAAGTGAAAACATTAATATAAACAGTTTCAACAAGTATTGAGCATCAAAAATTGTGCTTAAATGTTATCAAACAGTGTTATGTTAATTAAAACTACAACTACAATTTTTAAATATTTATTTTTTATTTGTAACTTTTGTAAAAAGCAAACAAACAAAAAAACCTAAAAACCTGAAAAATAAAAATTGGAAATGTTATTTGGCAACTGAAATAATTTAATAATAATAAATAACTGAAATAAGTACTAAAATTACTAAAACCAAAACTGAACTAAACATAAATGAAAGCTAAATAGAACTGTAAAAAAAACGAATAAAATATAATTTTTTAAAAATCTAAAATCTAATTAAAATTAAATATAAAAATAAAATATAATTCACTATAATACTAAAACTCCTAAAACTACATCTACAATTTTTAAAAATATTTATATTTATTTATTTAATATTTATTTCAGCTTTATTTCAAGTAACTTTTCTGAAAAAGTTAATTAAATAAGTTAATTAAACTTAATAAATAAGTTTATTTATTAATAAAAGTTTATTAATAAATATTAATAAATAATAATAATACATTTTACAATATCTGTTTGTAAAAAAATTAATTAAAATAATAATAAAATAAAAAACACCAAACCCTAAAACCCAAACTTTAATAAAAATAAGAAATGTTGAAAAAAAAAAAAATATTTTTTAATAAATTAAATAATTAATAAATAATGAATAAATTAAAGCTACATAAAAAACAATAATATTGTGAAATATTATTACAATTTAAAATAACTGAATAACTATTCTATTTTAATATATTTTAACATGTATATTATTTCTGCGAAGGCAACACTGTATTTTTAGCATCATTACTATTTTGAAATATTATTACAATTTAAAATAACTGAATAACTATTCTATTTTAATATATTTTAACATGTATATTATTTCTGCGAAGGCAACGCTGTATTTTTAGCATCATTACTCCAGTCTTCAGTGCCACATGATCCTTCAGAAATCATTATAATATGCTGATTTGTTGCTCAAGAAACATTTCTGATTATTATCAATGTTTTTGCTGTTGTGTGATTACCTTTCACATGGCCCCTGCCAAGCGTCACAAAGCCGGAGGAGATAAAGTTGTGAATGTCTTGACCACTGCGGAAGTTTTCTTTCCCATAATGCCCTACAAAGACAGACACAGCAAGTGTTATTAATGAAAACATTCCTTTTTCATTTTGTTGACATATTAGAGGTGACGTTTTGTTCAGAGGCGATTTTGGATCTCTTTTTATCACTCCAGAAATCAGAAAACATCAACTTTTTAACAATAAATCAGGGGGGGAAAAAATCAATTTTTGTTTTTAGGAATAAAATATAATATAAATCAGGCGGATGGGGGAAAGGTTTGAATGTTTTGGACTTGGACTGTTTGGTGTATTACTTTTTCATTTCATTTTCCTGTCAGACGCCCTGCTTCATTGTATAACACTTGCAATATATTTTACAAGTCAGCAGAAAACACAATAAAAAGATATGAAGTATAAACCAGGCGAATGATATATGAACAAACACCTCTGTAAAAGCCTTCAAAATATAGATAGGAATAAAACTGTGAGGTTTGGTGTATGTAAGTGCTGCTGAAGTCAAATAGATTACACTATAAATAGCACTTAAATGTGTATTTTGGACATTTTCTTTCCTCTAGTCTTGAAAAGTTAAACATTAAAGCTAAAAAAAACATACAAATATTTTTCATGTACTTAAAATAAATTTATTTTGCTCACCAAGGCTGCATTTATCTGATCGAAAAAATACAGTAAAAACAGCTATATTGTGAAATATTATTACAATTTAAAATACCTGTTTTCTATTTTAAGATAATTTAAAATGTAATTTATTCATGTGACACAAAGCTGAATTTTCAGCGGCCGTATGAATTGAAGTATACATACGCAATACACTTAAATATGTATTTTGGATGTTTTCTTTCCATTAGCCTAAAACAAGACAAGTTACAGAAGCAAAATTGAGCAGTGCATGAAAAACCAATGGTTTTGCCTGAAGTATCTTGCCTTAACTACCCTTTATACCCCACATCCATCACATCACGGCCTTGATTTCATGCGGTTATTGAGAAGTCATCTCAGCCAGCAAGCGATAAAAGGCACTCGGAGACGGCGGTCAAGACAAGGTGCTGCATTAAGTATTAATGGGGCAGAGGTTCTGCTCGTGGACTTGAGAGGCTTTAGAGGTCACTACAACACACTCTCAACACACACACACTCTCATCTCGTATTCGAGCCCTGCTGGGTTAGAGGACACTGGGAAACTTCACCGTCTTCCTCTGGAAGGTGAATCTTTGGCCATCTAATTGGACAGTAATGGCATCCCTGACCAGAGCTGCTTACCTCAAGGTCATGAGACGGGAGGGTTGAGAGGTTTATGTCATTGTCTTCTACAGCTGAAGTGTTTAAACCTATAAAACCTACTGTATCATGTTTGATATGCAAATCTCTAAGGTGCCAAAATGATCAGCATGATCAAAACTTTGGTGAAAAACCTATTGCACACAATCTACTACATTCCTTCTGTCTGATTGATAGGTTAAACTTTTTTTAGCGAGTAAAAGGCCTTTGTATAATTGTAAAAGTATCCACCTCCAGCTTGTGCTTCACATGTCTTTTTACTGATTTGTATAAAGTAAATGTAAGAATAACTTGAAAATAACTTGAGAAATCAGGTTGAAATGTGATCATCAAATATGATCATCAGGCTTTTGAGGAACATTTATTTGTTCATCTGTCAATCATGATTGTATTGCATTGTGTTATATGTTTTGAAACTATAGAGCTTTGATCATAAAATTAAGTATTTAAATAGCATCAAAGACATTTTTATGGAAGGATATTTCGGACAGTTTTCAAAAGGAATTGCAAATTGTATTTTCAATTGCGTTTTCCATATGTAGACATTTAAATTGTGACATAAGCCAAAAGCAATTGCAAATCTTGCATCATCGTTTGCATTTTTGCTTTCATGAATGCACAGCGACTGCCAAATTTCAAATGGAAAAGCAAAGTCCATTTGAACTGTATTTCCCATGTCTTACGAGTTATGAGCCTGTTATATTTCAATAGCAATATTAATTACCACGTCTGCTTTTTCACTCTCTCTGCATCGTGCATGTAACCTGCCGAAACTCAAATGGAATCACAATTTCTTTAGCATTTTAATTTTCGATGTCTTACACAGAGAACTGTTAATCAGTGTCAGGGGCGGGACTAAACTATGTGGCGTGTTTGTATTGGGGAGTGACATCACTCACAGATAATTGTGCCGAATGCTGCGAACAATGGAGGTAATCGGTAAAGGCTCCGCTAAAGACAGCTGCCAATTCGACAGATGCATGTGAACGAACAGACAGTGCAACCCGGGTCTCCTTACATTCTTGGCACCTTAATTCCGTCGTTTTTACCGCAAATGCAGCGACTATTCCCTGCTAACAGCATACAGTCATACGCACAATAGGTCAATATTCACCCTTAACCAAACGCTTTTCACATGCCTCAAGATCTCTTGCTGTTTGCACTCCGATTCATGCATGTGAGCAAACAGACAATCTGCCCCTCCTTCTACTCTTACTAGCCTGCCTATTTGCCACGTTACCTTATGTATTTTTTCCTCTTTTTGATCCATAAATAAGCACACGTCCTCTAAGCGTCGCGTCTGCCTCAACATCTCTCACTGTTTACAGCCACCGGACACTCCGATTGATGCACATGATTTTAAATATTAATAACTCAACTTGACTGTGGCATGTTCTGTGACAGCTGCACCTAGATCTGACTGGTGACATGTCATCTGGAGCAGACGTATTAAAAGTAGCAGCGTTTTCTGTTTGCTCACATGCAAACAGAAAATGTAACATTCAATAAAATATTATAGTTTCTAAATAAATAAAATTATAAATACATTTCTGACTATTATTTCATATGTCTGGCTTTACATGATTAATGTTATGACACTTTGCCATTTTCCAGTTTAAGTGAGCTTGAATAAATGAACCATTTGAACGAAATGATTCACTAACATGAATCAGACTTCTCAAAGCTAGTGAAAAATGCTTTTCATAACTGGAAAGACACTCTTCGTGCTTTTATTCTCAATTCAAAGGAAAACCTAAAGAGACCCACACACAAAGAGAGATGCACAGACATGTTATTGCATGCTGTGTAAATTGTGTTGAGATATTTCTTGGTGAAGTTTTGAGGTGGAACAGCGATTACGGTCAATACTAACAGTAAACGAGAGAGAGAGAGAGATATACAGACAGACAGAGAGAGAGAGAGAGAGAGAGAGAGAGAGAGAGAGATTCAGTCTCAAGAGTTGTTAAAAATGCTGTAATTTCAGGCGGTCTCTCATTTTGAGTCCTATATTCCCATTTTGTGTTATTTATGGCAGACAAAAAACATGCAATGCTTTTTATATGGTAGCCACCATATACTTCATGAAACATCAGCACCTTTGTTTCAATAATAATATCCATCTTTTATCTCCAAAATATCCATAGCAGAACTAAAAAATGGATACAAATACACTGATGGCTCATATTGAAAACTCAGATTTTGACTGCAGTCTTAATCATGCTAGATATTTCAATCAGATATAAAGAATCACAGGTCAGTGTGGACAATCAATTCCCAAGTGTCCCTTTCTACATGAAATCAAAGGCACAGGTGTCAAGATGACCCGGGAACAGTCATACCAGAGATCAGATTGCATTAAGAAACCCGTAATGAGAATAGCAGATGGGACCATTTGCCATCTTCATTACTCTGTCTCTCTCTTTATATTTTCCTCACAGTGGCTGATCTGTCCATCACTGTGATTTTGGTACATTGCTGCATGATGAAAGTTAATATTTAATGACAGTCTTTTATTAAAACAAGATCTTGTTGAACCATATTGTCTAATCAAACTGAGTAAAACTGAGTGAACATGCATGCTAATGTTTAATCTGAGAGATCTGCTTCATTTTAGCTTCTGATGCACATCAAATCTTCATGTCCTGGTTTAAAGAGCCTGAAGCAAGATTAAAGAGGCCATATCCGCAATTTTACCATCTAATTTTCGAATCTTGTTTCCATTAATAAAGCCAGCACCAAAAAAAATCATCATTTAGTATTTCATGACCATTTCCCATTCTATGACAGAATTAAACAGGCATTTTTGTTACTGTACCTTTAACGGAACAGTTCACCCAAAAATGAAAGTTTGCTCAAAATGTAGGCCTACTCCTCAGGCCACCCAAGATTTAGATGAGTTTGTTTCTTCGTCAGAACAGATTTGGAGAAATGTAGCATCACATCACTTGTTCACCAATGGATCCTCTGCAGTGAATGGGTGCCGTCAGAATGAGAGTCCAAACAGCTGATAAAAACATCACAATAATCCACAAGTAATCCACACCACTTCAGTCCATTAGTTAATATCTTGTGAAATGAAAAACTGTGTGTTTGTAAGAAACAGATCCATCATGATGACGTTTTAACTATAAACCGTCACTTTTGGCCAAAATGTGAGTCCATAATAACGCTTCCTACAGTGAAAAACTCCATCTCCTGTTGTCTCACATCAAAATCCACCCACATATTTGCTCAGAACTGTTTTAGACTGTTTTTGCTTGAAAACAGTGCTTGATCTGTGCATATTTTTCTCCTGATTCAGACCTTTTCAATGGAGAAAGCAATATTATGGATAGAGACTCATATTTTAGCCAAAAGCAACGGTTTGAGGCCAAAACGTCTTAATGTTGGATTTGTTTCTTACAAACATTTCACAACACATTAATTGATGGACTGGAGTGGTGTGGATTACTTATGGATTATTGTGATGTTTTTATTAGCTGTTTGGACTCTCATTCTGACGGCACCCATTCACTGCAGACGATCCATTGGTGAGCAAGTGATGTAATACTACATTTCTCCAAATCTGATGAAGAAACAAACTCATCTACATCTTGGATGGCCTGAGAGTGAAATAAAATGTCAGAAAATTCACTTTTTTTGGGGGGTGAACTATTCCTTTAAGGCTTCTATGCCTTTATGCAAATTGTCCTCTGCTGTGATTGGCTAACCTCTGCAAACTGATTTCTCACTTTTGAGTTCTGAAATCAACAGAACA